AAGCCACAGACTAGTAGGTAATTACAACAAATTTAATCTGAGTTATTCAGCACTAATCTGAACGAAACCTTGGAATTAATTATTTAGATTTTAAATCACTAAGGTTATATTTCAAATATTAATTTTTACAAATAATTTAGATTATATAATCGGCGCCGAATTTCTGTCAAATGATTTTTTAAATCTTGACAAATATCTGTATAGGTTAACGTGAGTTAGCCCAGAATAAAACAAATCAAACTACCGACTGACTGCCTGGAATAGCTATGTTTTGTGGTGTGGGAGTAGGTTGGAATAAATCTAGGGACGGTGACATCAAACCATGGCAGAGATCCATGAAATCAATATGGACTGAGTCATGTTGATAGATGCAGGCTACCTGATTGAGGTCCGCGAGACGAAAGTCAGCGATGATTGGAGACCTTGAATGACATGGTTCAAAATAGTTTGCAATGGCGCAAGTGCATCCACTCTTAGTGTTTGTTCTCTCAAATTCTAACCTTCTAAATTCCTCATCGTCTCTATCCTTTTCTTTCTGCATTCGTCTCGCTTAATTATACTTCACAAATCATATCCTCGAACCCTAATCTTCTTCATTACTGTTAATACTTCTCTAACACTATTAGATTTGAGCTAATAGTTGCGTTTTTGTGCTAATGCGGTATGGCAACCTGAATTGATGTACGTATGTACGAAATTCTATGCTGTAACTAACTAACTAACTAACTAACTGACTGACCATAAATGACGCTAACTTACTTACCTACTTACTTACTTTCTTACGGCATAGGCCGCCAATCATTGTTCATTCTTTTCATGTCTGTCTCCATTCCTCGGCGTAATGTGTTGTTCCATGGTCTTCCTCTTTTCCGTTAACCATGAGGGTTCCAGGTGGAATTTCATAACCAACAGTTTTGTATTATTTTCAATGTACAATATGAGTTGTAATTTAGTATCAAAGAATTTTTCATGTTTGTGATTTCTTCACATTCATATATGTACGTCTATTTACAATATTAACAGAATGAATTTATACCTCCATATGAAATTGTTCCATGTATGCGTCCAGTTGTATTTGTTGGTCCAGCTTTGAAAGGTTATGAAGTGACAGATATGATGCAGAAAGCAATATTTGATTCAATGAAAAAACATTTTGATGGAAGGTATGTTTTGTGTAGTGTATGCTTAATTGTGAATACATAGTACACGTGCTGTTGACATCTACTTTTTAACATGAAATGAGTACTCATTAGTGAATGATGAAGCATTTAAAACTAGAGTGTACTTGACACTTGACTGATTTTGGATTGGAACCCTTGAATATTGAACATATATACATATATATATAACTCTCGATTCTCATCAGTGCCGATGGCCTGGTGACTGACGAAATCTCAGCACGGATACAGAAGGCTAGATTGGCTTTTGCCAAACTGCGTCACTTATGGCGTAGGAGAGATATCCGTTTGCTGACTAAAGGACGAGTGTACTGCGCAGTGGTTCGCTCCCTCTTACTTTATGGCTGTGAGACATGGCCAGTGAGAGTAGAAGATATTCATAGATTACTGGTTTTCGATCATAGGTGTCTTCGAAGCATTGCTCGTATATCGTGGGACACCCGAGTGAGCAACGCTGTTATTAGGAATCGGGTGCTAGGTAAGAATGGCAGATCAATAGATGAAGTAATGAAACTTCATCAGTTGAGGTGATTGGGACATGTGCTGCGTATGGCTAACCACCGACTGCCTCGACGAGCTTTGTTTTGTAGTGTAGAAATAGGTTGGAAGAAAGTTAGGGGCGGCCAAACCAAAACATGGCAGAAATCCATGAAGTCATTGACGAGTGGACTTAGCCATGTCGGTAATTGTCGACTACCTGGTTGGCGTCTGCGAGACGATAATAATCGATGGTTGGAGACCTTGAATGACATGGCTCAGAATCGTTTGCAATGGCGCCGGTGCATTTATTCTTTGTGTTCTCTCAAACCCTAATCTTTTGAATTCTTCAACTTTGTAAACTTTTCGCACTGATACATACTTCTTGAATAATATCTTCTAATCCTAACCTCTCCGATTACTTCTAATACCTTTACTACCTCTTCTACTATTGGATTTGAATTGACAATTACATCTCTGTGGTGATGTGGTATGGCGACATGAACTGATGTACTTACGTACGAAGTTCTACGTTGCATCTGACTGACTGATATAGCTCTCGATGAAATCAAGTATTTTTTTGGTAATTAAAATACGTCTACACTGCCCAAAACGGAATCCAGCTGTTCACATTTTCAACTTCAATCAATTCATGACATTCCACACTATTATTCAGTCGAATCAATGAAGTTTACCTCATCATTAGCAGGGTGAAAATTCCTGGTTCATTGATTTCCAGATGAATTTTTTTGCGCGCATACTGAAGCTAGTCATCTGACCTAAATCAATTCACAAACGTTATCCACTGCATGAGTAATTGCCTCACTTCCCAAAGACAATTAAACTCCATTTTAATTGGAGTATATGAAGAAGATGGTCTTGATTGCAGTTATAGCTAATGCCACTTGTGACTTCTTTTTAAGGAACTTTAAAAAGAAAATGGGTTAAAAGTGATGTGGTAACTAAGAAACATGAAAACTAAATCCAATGAACAACTGTTTGAGACTAGTCACTCATAGCTTCTTAATGAAGATTTCTTTATATATCAGCTCAGTCTTTCTCAGGGCGTTAATAGAGGAAATATTTGGATCGAGGCGGAATGTACCGGTTTTTTGAACCGAAACTTCACTACAATAATTTTTTTAAGTAATCGATTCATTTAGATTTAAATTCTAATAAATGACTATGAAAATTCGACATAAATAGATAATTGCATAATGGGGTTATGAAGATTGTTAAGTTACACATCTGAAATCATGCACTGATCAAAGTTAGACCACCATTAGAAACCTGGAAGCACTGGATGGCCGTTCCATCCTGGTATGGGACTGATTGACAGTTCGCATCCACTACTCCTGCACCTCGTAGGATTCAAACGCAGGATCGAAGGTCCTGTGCGCGAACGCCTAACCTCTGTACCACTGAGCCAATATCTGACGGTGTTAATGTCTAACTTCGATCAATTCACGGAGTTGTGCAACCTCGTACACAGTCTTCGGTAGTTACTGTCTACACTCGAACAGGTTGAATTTCACGACTTCCCACTAGAACTCGGAGAAGATTCATCACGAAGCTAGTCACTAGTGAGTACAGGTAATTATTTACATTACGGTGTTGTGAAGATTGTGAAGTTAGGTGTTTCGGTCCAGTGGTTAGGCGTTTGCGTGCATAAAACCGAAGGTCCTGGGTTCTAACCCTGCGAGGTGCAGGAATCTTGGATGCGCAATGCCACTAATGAGTCCCATACCAGGACGAAACAGCCATACTTCAGTGCTTCCAGGTTTCTAATGGTGGTCCAACTCTGATCGATGCATGATTTCATATAAATCGATTCTATTGAGTAAATTATCAAAAGAAAATGTATATATATTATTTTTCTTCTTCTTTCCTTGTTGATGATAGAATTATTGTTAGTCGTGTCAGTACTAATATATCATTGGCTAAACGTGTCGGTGAATTATTACATTTGGATAAAAAGAATATTCTGGAAAAAGGACGTAGTCGACAACTTGTTTCTTTGAGTAATTCTCTATTTGTTTTTCCTAGTTGTTTCTTTTTTTTCATGTTAAAAATTTTATTTTTTGTTATGATTATGAGTAGTGGGGAAAAGTGGGTGTGGTGTGAGCTACTTATAAGTAGTAGTATATGACGTGAGTGTCAACGTAATGTCTGGCAGCAGAAGATGGGGGGGAAGATCAAGAAAGGAGGAAGAGCTAGAACACAATGAAATTTGTATGAAGCGAACGTATGAATAGTGACAATGGATTGATGTGGTTTGCAACAGGAACAGTCCAGTTCGATATGATGATGAACTGATATTTTGCAAATGAACGATTTACGATATGGTTTTCCTATTTTACTGAGTAACTCTGTAATTTTCGTTAAACTAATATTCGGTTGCCCCACCTGTGTTCTCGTTCACTACACGGGGACTGTTGAAATGGTTACTAGCACTTAACAGATGCTCTTGAGAAACCAATGAGATCCCAGCTAATCACAGCTTGTGATATTAGTTTCTCGAATGTCGATGTGGTGGCATGCGGTGATTTAATGATGATGATGATGATGACGTAACATCTCTATTTGAGGACTGAGATGGTTGTAGTGATGGTTTCACTCTCTATGAGAAACTATAAATACTTAGCATTTGTCTGTAAATTTTAACAGTTTTATCTTGTTCCAGCTTTTGATTTGTAGCCTAGAGGAGAGCGGTCCAACTGATTCTAATGCCAAAAGTTGTATTCTATAGTAGCCGTGTCTAGTAGAAGACTTACCAAGTGTTTTGATTTCATTATAGGGTTGTGGAGCTTGGTTAGTTTGCGTGAACGACTACGTAAACTAAACTCATCCAACTCCGTTTGTATTTGACTCTTATTACAGCCGTCGTACAAATGGAAGCCGCACAAGAGTGACATACGGGAAGATTTATTTCATAGCAGAATATTCAGTCGTTCGTTTAAATTGAAGTCAGATCCACGGCCAATAAAACTGAATACTATATGTCTAGTTGGAATCAATTAAAATGAGACAGAAACACCGGTTTAAAAGTCTAAAACAATATTCAGACCATAATGATACAGTTTTTTCTTTAATCATAAGTTATACAAAGATGATTTTTTCGTGTGCTGTTTTGTTCCTAGGCAGGGATGGAAAATTAATAGATAAGTATTGAAACTTCATCAGTTGAGGTGGTTGGGACAGGTGTTAAGTATGGCTAACCACCGACTGCCTCGACCAGCTTTGTTTTGTAGTGTGGGAATAGGTTGAAAGAAAGCTAGGGGCGGCCAAACCAAAACATGGCAGAAATCCATGAAGTGACTTACAAGTGAACTGAGTGATGTTGGTAGATGTAGACTACCTGGTTGGGGTCCACGAGATGATAATAATCGATGGTTAGAGACCTTGAGTGACATGGCTCAAAATCATTTGCAATGGCGCATGTGCATCCATTCTTTGAGCTCTCTCAAATCCTAATCTTCTGGATTTGTCAGCACCTCTACTCTTGTCTTTCTAAGCTTATCTCACTGAATTATAGTTCTTGAATAATATCTTCAAACCCTAGTCTTCTTCATTACCATTAATACCTCTACTATCTTTATCATTATGGGATTTGATTTGACATTTGCTTCTCTGTGCTAATATGACATGGCAACCTGAACTGATTTACGTACGTAGGAAGTTCTACGTTGTAACTGACTGATTGACTGATTGACACAACTGAATTAACCTTCGCAAACTAATGAAGTGCAACCCAACAGTTCAAATGAATAACTTTAACTTTCATTAATAACTTTGAGACATTACTTACTTACTTACTTACTTACTTACTTACTTACTTACTTACGCCTGTTACCCCCAATGGAGCATAGGCCGCCCACCAGTTTTCTCCAACCAACTCTGTCCTGGGCTTCCCTCTCCAGTTCTGTCCAATGTTTGTTCATTCCCCTCATATCTTCCTCTATTTCTCGGCGTAGTGTGTTCCTTGGCCTTCCTCTTTTCCTTTTGCCTTGAGGGTTCCATGTGAGGGCTTGTCTCGTGACGCAGTTAGGTGCTTTTCGTAGTGTGTGTCCTATCCACTAACTCCACCGCTTCTTCCTCATTTCCTCGTCCACTGGAATCTGGTTTGTTCTCTCCCACAGTTCGTTGTTGCTGATGGTGTCTGGCCAACGAATACGAAGTATTTTGCGTAGTCAGCTGTTAATAAACACTTGTATCTTATGGATGATGGCTTTCGTAGTTACCCAATAGAACTGTCTTGACATTTGTATTGAAAATGCTGATTTTGGTTTTGGTTGAAAGTTGTTTGGAGTTGCAGATATTTTTCAACTGTAGAAATGCAGCCCTTGCCTTGCCAATCCGCACCCTCAAATCTGCATCGGATCCACCCTTCTCGTCGATGATGCTGCCCAGATATGTAAAGTTGTTAACGTCCTCGAAAGCATCTCCATCAAGAGTGATTTGGTTGGTGCATGTTGTGTTGCATCGGAGAATTTTGCTTTTCCCTTTATGTATGTTGAGACCTACTGCTGCAGAGGCTGCTGCTTCACTGGTCGTCTTCTCTTGCATTTGTTGTTGAGTGTGCGATAGAAGAGCCAAGTCATCTGCGAAGTCCAGATCGTCCAGCTGCGTCCTAACTGTCCAGTTGATACCGTGCTTCCCTCCAAATGTTGACGTTTTCATAATCCAGTCGATGAACAGGAGAAAGAGAAAGGGTGAGAGTAAGCAACCTTGCCTCACACCGGTCTTCACCTCAAAAGAGTCGGTTAGCTGACCTCCGTGCACGAGTTTGCAGTTGAATCCATCATAAGAATTCCGTATGATGTTGACTATTTTCTCAGGCACACCATAGTGTCGAAGAAGCCTCCACAGTGTTTTCCTATCCACCACGCTATCGAATGCTTTCTCGTGGTCGATGAAGTTGATGTAGAGTGGTGAGTTCCATTCAATTGATTGTTCCACAATGATCCGTAATGTAGCTTTGAGACATTATTTTCAACTTAATAATACTTGTTTATATATATATATATATATATATATATATATATATATATATAACGAAAACATTACATTGAACAGTCTATTTGCACACCATCTTTGAGTTGTGACTTCCAACGCTCCATCCTTCTTCCATTCCTATTGTTGCTTCCTTCCTTCCTTTCCTGTTGGTACTCCATTCATTTCTTGCTTGCGCTCCATTTGCTTTCCGTTTTCCTCTTCTGACCGTGAGACTTCTTCTTCTTTCACGTCCCTTCTTATACTACTTATATCGTTCGTGTAAGTAGCACACACCATATATATATATATATATATATATATATATATATATATACTACTATCTATTGATTACATTGTATTTTTATTCTTTTCATTTTCCATTGATTTCTTTTTTTTCCAAAACAGTTGAAGTACAACAAGATTTAGAAAGAATATTTCATTTAGGCAGTAAAATGCAATTACTTTTATTAGATTGTGATACAATTAATCATCCTAATCAAATAACTAAAACATGTTTAGCACCAATTGTAATCTATGTAAAAATTGCTAGTCTACGTGTACTGAATCGTTTAATTAAAAATCGTGGTAAATTACAAAAAAAAAATGCTGGTGTACAAACAGCAGCTGCTGAAAAATTATTACAATGTTCACCAGTAAGTTTTATTATATATCAACTTGTTTATTTTTTAAGATTTTGATCAATTAAGCAAGTCACTGTTTGTCAACTAAAGAGCAGTAGACAATGGTGGTGTCCTCAGTGGAAGATGCTTTAGTACTACTACTTACTGCGCATCCATGACTCCTCTAACAGGAAGTGAACTTATCTATGACTTTGAGGTCTTTCAGTGTTGGGTATGGTAGATCCCCAAAATTCGCTTGATAAATATGCCTTATTTTGGTTTTCACGTTTGCCAGCATGGGCTGATCCGTTGACCTTGAGATTTCAATTCCCACCAGGGAAATCCGTGGCTATGATTGGCTGCTGTGTATTTCGAGTGTACTATTTTCTTAACTGTCTCAAGGATGTTTCTATGTTGTATAAATAAACGAGAGTTGTATGCTTGATTGTACTGTGTGATTGCTGGGTGTTTGTAGAATATACTTTCTACGCTTACAAAGTCTTTTAACATGCTTTGCGGATTCAAGGTAGCCTACCTGGACGCTGGTAAAAGTCTCGTTCGCGTTTATCGACTAAGGTAAACTCGTAATAGCCTCAAGCATACTTAGTGACGAACTTATCATTCAGTGAACGTTTATTGATTAGACGTGTTTTGTTTTGAAATGTTCGTACAAATGAGAGAAGTCTGTTAAGAATGTAGCCTACAAGTTGGGTTTCAGTCAGTCAATCAGTTAGCTACAACGTGGAACATCGTAGGCACCTAAATCAGTTCAAGTTGCCACACACCGTGAAGTAGAAGTAAAGACAGTATTCAGAAAGATTAGAGTTTGAAGATATTATTCAAGAAGTGAAATTCAGTGAAATAAATTTTTAGAAGTGAAAGATGAAGGTGATGCGGAATTCATATGATTAACATATGAGAAAACACAAAGAGAGGATGCACCTGTGTCATTACTTGAACCGATTTTAAGCAATCTTATTCAAAGTCTCTAACTATCGGGTTAAGATTGTCTCACAGGCCCCCGACCTGGTAGTCTGTACTTAAGACCATGGTCTTATTCACTTGTCAGTTACTTCATGGATTTGTGACAAGTTTTGATTTGACCGTCCCTAGCTTTCTTCAATGAGTTAGATTTCAACAGGATAGGATCGCTAACTCCATGTCCAACTTTCCTCCTTTACCCGGACTTGGGGCCGGCAGCATGCCTAGATGGTCGTCTTTAGGTGAAGTTATGTCAGATAACAGCTGTTAAAAGTTGTGAATATTTACATATATGTGGAAATAGTTAAACACGAAGTGCTTTCTACAACTGAATGATAACATTTAAGCTGTTCCAATGGAGGTTCATGCTTCAAAGTGATTACATTAGTAAGTTACACTAATGGATTAAGGAATAACTGTTCAATTTTCCAATCCTCCTGCATAATCTAAGTTCATGTTGAACATTGACATGAATTCACATATTTTCAATGTCCAGTTTTTGCTCATTATCGTTCGTTCAGACTACATTGGTTGAATTTCTTTGGTATTGATTTTTTCGTTGTTGAAATTTTATTTTATTCATATGCAGATTGTTGGTTTTCAGTTGAAATCCATGAATTGAAGCACTAGACACCAATTTCATCCTTCTTATATGAGACCCATCAGCAGTGTGCATTCACAACCTCTGCGCCACACAATCGAACACAGTATATTTGGTCTCGCATGTGAATGCTTAATTTCCAGACCACTACTGACCCAGTATAATGAATATCACAAAATTCGCTCATCAGAGTGACTAGCTTCGTGAGGACATTCTCCTAGTTCTAGTGAGAAGATGTGACTAATGGAATTCACCCGTGTCGAGTGTAAGCAGTAAGTAACCCACCGAAAACAATAGGTGAGGTTACGCAATACCTTAGATTGATCGAAGTTAGATATGAACACATTTGGGTGCCTGCTAGCTCACCGGTCTAAAGGTTCAGCATTCACTCGCAAGCCCGAAACTCCTGGGCTTGACTCCTGCGAGCTGGGCTCGTGGATGCTCATTGCTGATGAGTCCCATACTAGGTCGAAGCAGTCATCCAGTACTTCTAGGTTTCGAATGGTGATCTAACAATAATAGATTCACACAGTTTATCGTGCTGATATTGTATATAAACTTTTGCTAATGTACATCTGTGCCAGGCTCTATTATTGATTATAACTGATTAAGACATATCGTCAAGTTAGCAAGGAACAATTTTCCTGACGAACACTTCACAATCAAGTTATAACTACTTGATCTATACGACTAGATTTTGTGCAGATCTATATCAAAACCATTCAGATATCACCACCTAACATTTCAAGCACTGCTCTTATTATTTTAATACTGTTCTCGGTTCGACCCCTTCAATATATCTGTTGATATACAAGCAAGCGTCAAGGCGAAATGAATCATCATTACTCTCCTGTATTTCTTTTTATCGATTTTTAACAGTTTCCTAACTAATAATAATAATAATCACGCTTGCCTTAATTACTATTGTGAATGTAGATCAGTCATTGTATATTTATTGTTGCTTTTGCCTGTGTTAGGAATCATTCGATTACGTAATCGATCAGAATACTTTATCCAATGCAACTGAAGCATTAAGTCATTTCTTAGAAGGTTATTGGGCAGCAACACATCCACCTTTGATTGTTAGTAAAGCTGAACGTCTTCTTGGTTCATTCTCTTCTCCAGTTCCAGACATAAAAGAACTTGATTCTGATCGTCCACTTGTTCCAATGACTCCTGGTCATCCAGGATTGAGTGTAGTTACTAAAGTAAGAAGAATAAGAAATCATCTTTTTATTTTTTGAAAGTAACAGAAATCTTTCTTTTACATTTTTTTTTACATTTTTAATGCTAAATTTGCGTTTTTTTCGGACAACCTCAGTGGAAGTCGGATTTGTACACTATTGAATACTCATGTGGTAGTGAAGGAGAACACAGGTGGGGCAACCGAATTGTATTTAACGAAAATTACAGAGTTACTCAGTAAAATCGGAAAACCATATCGTAAATCGTTCATTTGCAAAATATCAGTCCATCATCATATCGGACTGGACTGTTGTTCCTGTTGCAAACCACATCAATCCATTGTCACTATTCATGCGATTCACACAACATCCATTGTGTTCCCACTCTTCCTTTCTTGATCTTCCCTCATCTTCTGCTGCCAGACATTACGTTGACACTCACGTCATATACTACTTATGAGTAGATCACACCACAATGATACATATGTGTTTGACGAGACTAGTGGTCATGTGTCTAAGTCATAGATACGGATTCGTGAATGCAAATCGCTAAGGAGAACTCCTTACCATAACGAAATGGCCTTCCAGTGCTGAATGGTGTTTTAAATGATGTCTTAACTTTTGATCGGTGGTAATGGAATCTGGGTGGAGTCTGTATCTCTTGACAGCATTCCAAGAATATGACTTTAAGGTCATCCAGTGTGTACTCGCAATACTTCCACGTTCATCCCCAGCTACACTGTGTTCATTTTCTCTCACTTATGATTTTGTTTTTGAGTTCATCCATCGACTTACATTTTTTCGTTAGACAGAATTAATTAAGTTTAAAAGACGCGCGACAAACTTGTTTGATAGACATCAATCATAAAAAAAGCCATCTGGTCGAATATCGATCGCAATTCATGTAACTGATTGGTCTAATGGTTTTTATTGATCAAGAATAATTTACTCGGTCGGTCATTGAGGGCATTGTAAAGCTTCTACGGATAGAAAGAGGAAATCGAAGTCTGACTAAAGAACCCTAAAAGTTACATGAGTTTTCCATATCGTAACTAAGATAATCAGAATGATGTAACGAAAATATTGTCAAATACCATGAATTCTCATGATTTTTACCTCATCATGAAAGACATGTTATTTTTATGAGGGACAGTAGGTTTATATTCCTTCGTTTGATTTTAGTTAGTGACAAAACTCTCTACTTTGAAAAATTGTTTATTATGTGAGTGATATATTGAGCTCACATTATAGTTGAGTGATTACTTCGATTCACCTGAACTAGTTAGTGATAGGGAGTGAAGTAGTCAACCATGTTGACCGCTTCACTTATCTGGGGAGTCTCATCAGTGCTGATGGCCTGGTGACTCGCGAAATCTCAGCACGGATACAGAAGGCTCGATTGGCTTTTGCCAACCTGCGTCACTTATGTCGTAGGCGAGATATCCGTTTGCTGACTAAAGGACGAGTGTACTGTGCAGTAGTTCTCTTCGTCCTACTATACGGATGCGAAACATGGTCGGTAAGAGTAGAGGACATTTGTAGGTTACTAGTCTTCGATCATAGGTGTCTTCGAAGCATTGCTCGTATATCGTGGGACACCCGAGTAAGCAACGCTGTTATTAGGAAACGGGTGCTAGGTAAGAATGGCAGATCAATAGATGAAGTGGCTGAGACATGTGCTGCGTATGCCTAACCACTGACTGCCTCGACGAGCTTTGTTTTGTAGTGTAGGAATAGGTTGGATGAAAGTTAGGGGCGGCCAAACCAAAACATGGCACAAATCCATGAAGTCATTGACAAATGGACTGAGTCATGTCGGTAGTTGTCGACTACCTGGTTGGCGTCCGCAAGATGATAATAATCGATGGTTAGATACCCTGAATGACATGGCTCAAAACCGTTTGCAATGACATCGGTGCATTCATTCTTTGTGTTCTCTCAAATCCTAATCTTCTGGATTCTTCAACACCTCTAGTTTTGACTTTCTAAACTTTTCTCATCGAATCATACTTCTTGAATAATATCTTCTAATCCTAACCTCTCCGATCACTTCTAATACCTTTGCGACCTCTTCTACTATTGGATTTAAATTGAAAATTACATCTCTGTGCTGATGTGGTATGGCAACATGAACTGATGTACTTACGTACGAATTTCTACGTTACATCTGACCGACTGACTGACTGATTACTTCGATTTTCATAGGATGTAAATAAAAGCGTTCAAGAGGATTGGGACTATTTGACCGAAATCTTTGCATAACCTGATCTTTATGCACTTGTGACAAGCATAGCTACAACCTTTCGAACATTGGATATCTTAGTGATATATGAAACAGCGTCACAAAGCTTACAACAGCGCGAAAACTTAAGACTGATGAGACATTCAGTACGTAGTTTACACATTCCTTAGAATTGAAATATTTAACTCTAACTAATCACCACTAATTTGTGATTAGTGTCAATATTTTTCTGATTGTTATTGCATGACAGTGATCTTACACTGTGAAGTTTGGTGACATTGTTTCGAATCCCACAGATAACATCATTTTTCTACATACAGATTATAAGTACACTTTACTGATGTGTTTGCATATACTTTATAAACAGTTCAAATGATCTCTGACTGTATATATTCTGATATGTTACAAAATTTCAACTTGGAAACACTATAGGAGAATTATATCCCTTTTGATTTCTTTTCTTAACTGAAATCATTCATTATTGATAAGATCTCAAACTCCTCCTATTCAACAAGAAATAATTACTTATTATCAGTATAAATAAATTTTGATTGAAAGACTTTTAGTTAATACACTGAACACATGAATGAATCATTGTTAGACTACAATTGGAAACCTGGAACAAAGGAATAGTAGTGCGTACCCACAACTTCTGCTATACACGCGATTCAAACTCAGAAACTTCATTCTTGCGCAAAAACACTTAAACTCTATCTGGACCACCGAACCGGCGACATCCATTGATGTTAATGTCTTCTAACTTTGACCAATCTAAGGATTTTGAGCAACCTCACCGATTTGTCTTTGGTAGTTGTTATAGCCTACAGCTAACAGGGTTGAATTCCACTGGTCAGAGATGTCTTCTCACTAGAACTCCGAGCAGTTTTCCTCACGATGCCAGTAGTTGTCATTAGTGAGTGAGCATATTTTCATGATTTTGCATTCTATAGTTAACTTCTTTCATTCTTATACAGTAAATACATTGTAGTAATCTTGTAGTGAACGAGAACGCAGGTGAGGCAACCGAATTGTATTTAACGAAAATTACAGAGTTATTCAGTAAAATCGGAAAACCATATCGTAAATCGTTCATTTGCAAAATATCAGTTCATCATATCGAACTGGACTGTTGTTCCTGTTGCAAACCACATCAATCCATTGTCACTACTATTCATGCGTTCGTTTCATACAAATTTCATTGTTTTCGAGCTCTTCCTTTCTTGATATCCCCCCATCTTCTGCTGCCACCAGACATTACGTTGACACTCACGTCATATACTACTACTTATAAGTAGCTCACACCACAATCGGACACAAAATTGTTTCAATTCAATGTTTCATATTGTTTCATATTTTTGTTTGTTTGTTTTGTTTTAGTCTGCATTAAGCGCTGGTTTTACTAGTCAAGAAATTAGTGAATTAACTGGAGCAAGAGCAACTGGTTGGTTAACAGAAAATGGTGGCCAAATAGACAATGAACTTGGACTTACTGGTGTTCATCATGCCGGCAGTGTTGGCAGTGAATTTCATCACAATACACATTTTGGTGGAAGAAAACTTAAAGCTGATCATGATAATCATCATCATCATAATAATACTACTACTACTGACGGTCTTAATACAGGAGGACATTATTCCGATGATGAAAATGAAGGATCACATTCGAATTATCCTCGCAACGGTCGATTACATGTAGGCGCTGCAAATGCAGCTGCAATTGCTGCTGTCGCAGCTGGATTAACACCGAAAGTGCATGCATTGCATCCATCATTATTACAAGGTGAAAATAAACGAAACGGTTCAATTAGTCGTCGTGATGTCAATGGAATGGTGACACATGAATCACCTGGTTTAACTATGGGTTTAGGATTGGGCATAGCAAGTGGAGTTGCAGCCACCATCAGTGCTGCACTATTTCCAAGTCATAATAATAATAATAACGGTAATAATAATAATAATATTAATGTTAATAATCATCGTCAGCATCATCCACCAGATACTAATACTCATCATCAACCAACACCAAGACTACCACCTCCGACAATTACTGCAGCAGCTGTAGCATCTGTGGCTCCACCCCCGTTAAAAGATCTTGGCATTCATCAAGTGGAGGGTAGTGATGGAACACAAGGTCAGTAAGGTGACTGCTTATTTTTAGTCCGAATATTTTTGTTCAATCTCTATCGGGTTGTGAAGATTGTTGAGTTACTGTTTGAAATCATAAAATCGATCAGTGCTAGGCCACCACTATTAGCAACCTGGAATCAGTAAATGGCCATTTCATCCTGGTATGGATGGACCTGATCAACAGTGAGCGCTCACAACCACCGTAACTTGCGCAGGATTCGAACCTAGGACCCTTGGTTTGTTTGGTTCACGAACGCCAAAACTCTGGAGCGTTGAGCCAGCAGTATCTAACGGCGTTGATGTCTAGCTTCGATTGGTTCACGGTCTTGTGCAACCTCATCCACCATGTTCGGTGAGCACTAGTTCAAACTTGAACAGGGTTGAACTCCACTGGTCAGTACAGACAGATGTCTACTTCTTCACTCAGTTAGTTACCAAACAGAAATCAATTACAATTAATAGAGTTGCTTTAAAGCGATTGTTCAGTGTTGTACTTTACAACAATAAATGGCTTCAGTTATTAATTAGATAGTTTATTTAAAACTAGAAGACGATTATTCTAGATAGTTCACATCCTAGACCTCACCATGCATTGAATCTAGATCCTTCAAGTGCCGAGACGAGCACACAACGTATAAACCATTCGGTTGGCATTCATTGGTTGTAATTTGAAACCTTCATAAATTCTCAATATTGTACAACTAGTATTTGTCATTGTAGGAGGAGTATGAGTTTTGAAAAATAATCAACGTTTTGAGACTATCATATATATATATATATATATATATATATATATATATATATATATATATATAAACGAACTGTTCCTTATGCTCTAAAATGATTTTTGATTTCTTCAAGTCTATCAAAGTAGATCAGCTCGTCAAGCTAGACAACGTGAAGAAGAATTAGCTCGTGTAAAACAACAAGCTGAAGCGAAAGCACTTGCATTACAAGCTACAGCAGGTGGTCGACGTAGACGTCGTGATAAAGAAAGAAGACAACGAAATGTTGATGGTTATTGGGATTCATCACATGATGAACGTTATCATCATGTGCATGGAACCAATGACTTAACACAACATCCACATCAATGGAATGGACCACCGGTTAGATCTATGACAAGAGCATGTCCACCTGACGATTGATTGATTGATTGATTATCTCAAATATATTAAAAACTGACAAATTTCACTAACTACTTACTGGTTTCTGTCTGTCTGTCTGTCTATTTGTTGTTGTCAGTAGTAGTATCTTTTGTATTTCAAAAAAAAACCCAAAAAAGGACTACTCATGAATACTTCTTTCACATTCAGTATTATTTTATTTTGTGTTCTTGATTCACACAAAAAAATTACATTGTATCAGTCAGTCAATAGACACTTTTAATAATTCTACAAGATGTGAGAATAAAAATATATATTCATTAACATAAAAATATCAAAAAAAAGAAAAACAGAGGCAGGTAAAATAAATGAAAACAACACAATGAATAAAAATGAAATGGAATTTTTTGAAACTAAATTAAATTAAATAATCGATTCACAGTTTTAAAATTTTCCCCCGTTATGTCAGAAAGAATATCAAATGAATGGTCGCTTCCAGGATTGATGATCGATGGACAGAGAGAGAGACTGATAGATAGACAGACAGAAGATAGACAGATGGATAGATAGACAGATAGACGATTTGAAGTTTTAAAATATACTCAGTTATGTCAGGAAGAATGTCAAATGACTGAGGATTGATAGACAGACAGACATACAGAGAGATAGACAGATAGTTTTCAAGATAGACAGTTAGACAGATGGATAGGTGGACATAGAAGTCGGAGAGATAGATAGACAGGTGGATAGATAGATGGATAGATAGACAGACAAACAGAAAGATAGATGAAAAAAGAAAATCTTCAGTGGAGTATAAGTAATACATCTCTTCAAATAATTTGTGTACTGTGAATTGATTTTATACTTGAAATAAATAAGTAATATGTTAGATAATGATGACTTCGATAAATTGTTCATTTTATCGATACAGTACACAATACAATAAAATAATTATTATTGATTGTAATAATAATTTCAATTTAAGATTCGACCAACGTTTATCCTAGTTCAAGATTTCTTAATATATTTACCTTTTTCCTATAAAAAATAAAATAAAAAGTTAATAGAAATTAGAATTATGAAATTGCATTAAAATCAACAGAACATATGACGGCAATCATTGAAATCCATCCAGAGAGCGTGTTTCGTTTCATTTAAGAAGACTCATCAACTGAATATACCTCTTACCATATCTCAGAGTTTCCTATGGAGCTCAAACTCAGTATCGTTTGGTTTAAACACCAGTGAGTCTAGATAGCTGCTCGTTTGTGCATGAGGTTTGATTGAATTCCTCCCAGAGTTAGCATCAAATCTGAGATATGGCAGGTATATCCAGCTGAGGAGACCTATATATAGGATGAAACAACATCAGGCGACATGGATTCCAGTATTGGCCACATTTTATATCTTCCAGATAAGTTTGTATTATGACCGTTATTGCCCAGCTGAGAGTATTGAAAAATAATCTTATAGTTAACCGTTCTGTTGTAACGCTGCTACGTATAGCTCTTCAGTCCTAACGGCGTCCAATTCAAATATCCCAATACGACCCAAAATGCTATTTCCAAATCTCCTAGATATCAGAAAGCAACACCGTGGAAGGAAGTTGTTTATTGGGTCGAATACAGAAGAAGATGTAGGCAGGGGAAACGGAATTATTAAGTCTTTCAGATAGTGCGTATTTATACTCTAAGGTCGAATAAGAAAGAGCATCAACGTCTGTGACATTGACAGTTTAGGCCGACCAATAGAAAAGAACATTTGAATGACATTGACATTCCAGATGGCCAATAAAAAGCAACATTGAAGTATTTGACCTTGACGGTTAGAACGATCATAATTTCTGCCAATAGGATTATACTTCTAAAAATAGTATTCTTAGGATATTTGGTGAATATCCTAACACGTTCAGACAGAGAAAAATAACTGATATTTATTTATAATACTTAACAGCGTTGTTAATTATCATTCGACAGGGATTTTCTTTTCAATCTCTCAGATGTGATAAGAAAGGGCTGTTAAAGAGAATGACTTGATGGTATTATTTGTAATTAATTAAAAGTATGTGATACGCTTTGGACAGATTAATTATCTGTTTGAACATATAAACACTGATAAAAATGGGCACTTAAACATTAATGCACTATAAAAATTACTGAAGTTATGAGTAGGCTGGTATACTGCTCGGACTCTCAGACTTGACAAGGTAGTCTTCGTAAGGAACCACATCTCGAGCGTTTGGTTTGAAATTCTAATCCACAAGGTTAAGAGATGCAGTCCTATGGTAACCACTAGTTCCATTGGGATCGTGGGGCCATTGTGCAATGTTCGTTTGCAAACAGGGTTCTCCAAATCCTTGCAGTGGATCTACTTAGTTAAAGCGCCGGAAATTTGATATTTATTCTCTCCAGAAAAAGAAGAGATCTTTTCTGGCTGTGACTATATATTCATGGCCTAATGAGGGCATTTCGAAAGAGTGCAGACTCTACTCCCCCCATTCTCGACCAGTCGGCTGCTTCTTTGTAGCTCATTACCTGAATACACTTTGATTTCCTGCAGCTCGCAGGATTCGAACTCTGGAGCACTGAGCCGGCATCTAACGATGCTAATGTCTAACTTGATCAGTTCACGGAGTTGTGCAACCTCATATGGTGTGTTTGGTAGTTACTGTCTACACCCGAACAGGTTGAACTTCACTGATCACGACTTCCTTCTAGAACTCGAATAGGATTCCTTAAGAAGCTAGTGACTAGTAAGCATAAGTAATTGTATTACGAGGTTGTGAAGATGAAACGGCCGTCTACCAGTGCTTCCAGGTTTCTTCTAATTGTGGTCTAACATTGATCGATTCATAGTTTCAAAAATGTGTAACTAACCAATCTTCACAACATCGTAATGCAAATCTTATTATTAATGAAAATTTATATATGAATATGAAATTTGCACATGAACTCACTCTTTCTTGATAACGACGTTCATAATAATCTAATTCAGATTCTCCTGGACGACGCATCTGTGACTCAACTTCATGTCGTTCACGTTCAGCACCTGTAGATAATTAATTATAAATCTTTAAAACAATCATCATCAGCTCATATCAAATCAACTAAACAGTGACAGAATATATCGTTGGCGATCAGTATACGTGATGGTAGTAAGTAATCACAATAAGAAACCATTTGAACTTAAAAATATATGCCCGTTGACACTGATCAATATACTAAATAAGTTGAGTAACAAACAAATTGTCAATACATTTGTAGGATCCAAATTGAGGTTTGGAGTGAGTAATAATTGTCTAGGTAGTTTAGATATGCGCTTTCGCCCAGTTCGAAACCAAAACAAGTGATTTGGATGAATGACGGTTCTAAACAAGTATTACCACTCAGTTATTTCATCAACAAGTGTTAAATTAATCAAATCAACAGCAACAAATAAATGTTATTCTCTCCCTCCTGGATAGATCAGATTCGCTGAACAGATAACAGTTGGTTGCTTTATAATACAGAGTGCTTCTTATTCTGGAAGGTTGATTCAATTCACAATCGAAATGCACAATTCCAATCATCACAAACGGGAATCGAACAGACTAACACAATATACAACTGAAGGATTCAATAAGGACATATTACAAATGTATGAATGGAGGGATTGTCACAAAAAAAGCCTTCAAAAACTGGATCTGACATATCTATGCTTGTGACAGTGTTTAATACTAGTAGCTCAGGTTTCATGAAGGGTATCAGTTCCATAGAGATAGAATGTGAACACATCTTGCTTATATAAGTATCATGTTTATGATATCCTATCGATCCCATTGGTTTAGGGTTTAACTGAAAATAGTTAATGCATCGCGACCTCATTAGTGAAATTTATCGAAATCGTAAATTAAACAACATGAAACTGATTACAACTCAGTAATCATTCAGTGAATATTTTCAGCTATCCCGCGTGCTTAACTTTTAACGTTTCTGTTGTGATATTTTCGTGAAGTATTGAAACTTCATCAGTTGAGGTGCTTAGGACATGTGTTACGTATACCCAACCACTAACTGCCTCGACGAGCTATGTTTTGTGGTGTAGGAAAAGGGTTGGAAGAAATCTAGGGGCGGCCAAATCAAAACATGGCAGAAATCCATGAAATCACTAACAAGTGGACTGAGTGATGTTGAAAGATGTAGACTACCTGGTTGGTGTCCTCAAGATGTAAGTCACCAATGGTTAGAGACCTTGAACGACATGGCTCAAAATCTTTTGTAATGGCGCAGGTGTATTCACTCTTTGTGTTCTCTCTAATTCTAACCTTTGGAGTTCCATACTAGGGACGAAACAACCACCTAGTGTTTCCAGGTTTCTAATGGTGGTTTAAACATTGATCGATTTTATGATTCCCATGATACATATATAAAAATCAAAAATATTCATCTTAAAAGACATTCAGTCAGATGCAACGTAGAACTTCGTACGTAAGTACATCAGTTCATGTCGCCATACCACATCAGCACAGAGATGTAATTGTCAATTCAAATCCAATAGTAGTAGAGGCAGTGAAGGTATTAGAAATAATCGGAGAGGTTACGATTAGAAGATATTATTCAAGAAGTATGATTCAGTGAGAAAAGTTTAGAAAGTCAAAACTAGAGTTGTTGAAGAACCCAGAAGATTAGGACAAAGACAACAGTATTCTGGAATTAGGAAGTTTGATAATTATTAAAATTCCTAAAAACTACTGCTCAATATGGAGATTTTGAAGGTCACATTTTCTCATTAAAACAATTTATCTTGGCTGCTTACTAATTATTAATTAATCTTGATTGAACATACATCACAATACTTGTTTATTCGAAAGTAATCGAGTGTCACTCTCAAAGTAATGAAATATGTATATGAGGTCCAATTACCTTATTTGTATATAATACAAATCATTAATTACAGTATGGTTACTCTATAAAACTAATTTATCCGGTATACCAGTTTACAAAAGTAAGTTAATTGATTAAATCAACAGGCAGTAGAGTAGCGTTTCGATGTAACTATTTATGTATAACTAAATAGTCAGTGAACCTAGAATGTCGAGCTTATTACTTACCTACGTAAATCATCAGTTGAAGCTGTCATACCACATATTACCATAGACAGATAAAATGGTTACTTAAAAATCTCATAGTGGTAGAGATTGCAGCAAATATTAGTGGTTATTACGGAAAACTGGTAGGGGTCAGGGATATGTTTCAAAAAGTATAATCTGGTGAAATGAATTTTTTGAAAAAAGAACAGAGAGAAGAAGTGATCATGAGGAATCCAAAAGATTTCGAATGTGGGCGAAGATAAAGAAAGATTGGATGAACCTGTGCGACTGTAAGCGATTTTCAGCCAATGTTATTCAAAGTCACTAACCATTGAGGTTACGATTGTCTCAAGGACACTGACTAAGTAGTCCGTCTACAGCTACTAACATGGTTCAGTCTAGTTGTCAGTGACTTGATGGATTTTTCAGAAATCGCGGTTTGGCTGCTCCTACCTACCTACCTACCTAACTAACTAACTAACTACCTACCTACCTACCTACCTACCTACCTACCTACCTACCTACCTACCTACCTACCTAACTAACTAACTAACTAACTAACTAACTAACTAACTAACTAACTAACTAACTAACTAACTAACTAACTTACTTACTTACTTACTTACTTACTTACTTACTTACTTACTTACTTACTTACTTACTTACTTACTTACTTACTTACTTACTTACTTACTTACTTACTTACTTACTTACTTACTTACTTACTTACTTACTTACTTACTTACTTACTTACTTACTTACTTACTTACTTACTTACTTACTTACTTACTTACTTACTTACTTACTTACTTACTTACTTACTTACTTACCTGCCATATCATTTATTGCTAATTTATAATTGAAAATTCCTTGTGCATGACTTCGGAGAAATGGATGATCTTCTGATGTAATTGATGCATTTATTTCTTCTTCTGACAACAACGGGCCTGCACCACTTGGATCCATACGTTGAATACCTGATGCCAGTGAACTAAATCCAGTTAGACCACCCATAGCTTGATATGGTGACGGTTGACCGATTGGTTTACCTCTACTACGACGTTCTTCAGCGGTTTCCATCTGATTAGAACAGTGTATAAATGAGATAAAAGAATAATAAAGGACGGTTAGATAATTTGATCTTTTTAAATACTTGTTAAATTTTTTTTACGTAAATCATTAAACCTTTTAACGAAGATTTATGACGTTCATGTGCTCTCGACTAGTATCCTCCAAATTGCTCTGTCCTACGACTTCCTTTCCAGTTCTGTTCAATTTTTGTTCATTATTCTCATGTCTGTCTGCATTTCTAGAGGTAATGTGTATTTTTGGCCTTCCTTGTTTTCATTAGCCTTGAGGGTTCCAAGTGAGGGCTTGTCTTGCGATGCAGTCGGGTGCTTTCCTCAATATGTGTCCTATCCACTTTCAGCACTTCTCCGCTAAATATATATATATATATATATGTTTCCTATGAGACCAGAGGTTCGCTGTGAATATTGTGGATGGCTTGGCATTGCTTTGGGAAGTATTACTAACAGTTTATATACAGGTTGACTGGTTTAATTGATGCTGTTGGTTGTTTTGCAGCATTCTCGAAGGCCATCGTCACTGAGGTGCTGTATCACATATCACTATTGCTAACAATAATGAGTATGCGACAGTCATCATGTAAGCAGAATGGGTCAAATTGGCCTGTTCATGCTGTGCATACTGATTGACGACGCGATCATGAATCGGAAATAATCACTATACATATATATACACTAATGTATATAAATAGGGTGAATGGTCCATCAAGGTGTCAGGTACTAGTGTGTAGTACTTGCACCACGGGATCGAGCAAAACTGTTCACGTTGAAATGTTAGCACGTGACCACCAGTCTCCTTGGCTCTCCCCTTAAAACCAATGTAGTTAAAATTACCCTAACCCAATCGAGGGTTAATTTATTTAATTAAATTATCAGTTTCAATTTCAAAAATAAAAATTTTTTGTATTCAAAATAACAATAAAACTAAATCACAATTTTAAACTTACAATCATTTCGTGTTTATGCAATTCAATGCCACAATCACAACGCATACTTGTTCGAAAACCACTACATTTACAATTGGAATTTGAACAAAAATAAGGTGCTGTCTAAAAATCAAATAAAATATAAAACAAATGAGAATATTTATTTTTTGTCAAAAATTGAAAACAGAAAAATAAAAAACTAGACATCGATGGGCGGCAGAGTCAAATATCAGAATTAGTAACATTTTCCACTAGATATCTATATCTATTATGTTCGTCACTAAGTATGCTTGAGGCTATTACGAGTTTACCTTAGTCGATAAACACGAACGAGACAATGAACCAGTGTCCAGGTCGGCTACCTTGAATCCCAGCGGAAGTAAAGAAAGGCTTTGTAAGTGTAGAAAGTCTATTCTACAAACCACCCAACAATCACCACAGTACAATCAAGCACACAACTCTCGTTTATTTATACATCATAGAAACGTCCTTGGGAGTCACAAAAATAGCACACTAAAATACACAGCAGCCAATCACAGCCATGGATTTTGCTGGTGGGAATTGAAATCTCAAGGTCAACTGATCAGCTCATGCTGGCAAACGTGAAATCCAAGAGAAAGCATTTATCAAGCGAGTTTTGAGGATCTAACACCCCCAACAATATCTAGTGAGTATGAAGTAGTATTTTTGGATTCAAATTAAAGTAGAAACAATATACAATTGATAAAAATGAATGTCAACAATTAAATGTCATTTTTTTTTCAATTGATATTTCACGAACATTTCGTTTACACAATTTGTCTCTGTCTCTGTCTATCTCTCTATGTGGTTCTTCAGTGTTATACATCCTCCAACGTGTGACATTGAGCATAATCAAGTTAATTAAAATAGAAATGTATTTATTGAAAGAAATATTCAGTCTTAGATAGAATCAAGTTCCAATAAAACCTGACTATCTATGATGTACAGTGACAATATGATAATGATTCAGTGATTTAATATTAACAGAGATAAATTTAGCAAAGGAAATGTTAATGGAACATAAACATTAAGCACAATTTATTCACAAGAAGAACAAAACATCTTAGTCAGTTACAATGTAGAACTTCGCACGTACGCAAATCAGTTCAGATTGTCAAATAACACACACTAGCAAAGAGACACCGGCATGAGTTCAAATCGCATAGTGGTAGAGATAGTAGAAGTATTACTGGTTACGGAGAAGATAAGGGTTCCAAGATATTATTCAAGAAGTATAATTCAGTGAGATAAGTTTAGAAAGTCAAAACTAGAGGTGTTGAAGAACACAGAAGATTAGAATTTGAGAGAACACAAAGAATAAATGCACCTTCGCCATTGCAAACGATTTTAGGCCATGTCATTCAGGGTCTCTAACCATCTCGTGGACCCCAACCAGGTAGTCGACAGCTACCGACATGACTCAGTCCACTTGTCAACGACTTCATGCATTTGGGCCATGTTTTGGTTTGGCCGCCCCTAGCTTTCTTCCAATCTACTCCAACGCCAGAAAACATGGCTCGTCGAGGCAGTCGGTGGTTAGCTATACGCAGCACATGTCCCAACCACCTCAACTGATGAAGTTTCAATACTTCATCTATTAATTTTTCATCCCTACCTAGGAACAAAACAGCACACGAAAAAATCATCTTTGGATAACTAATGATTAAAGAAAAAACTGTATCATTAAGGTCTGAATATTGTTTTAGACTTTAAAACCGGTGTTTGTGTCTCATTTTAATTGATTCCAACTGGACATATAGTATTCCAGATACGCATACAAGATAAGTTTTATTGGCCGTGAATCTGACTTCAATATAGACGAACAATTGAATATGCTGCTATGAAATAAGTTGTTCCGTATATCATTTTTTGGTGGACTCCATTTGCACAACAGCTGTAATAAGAAGTCAGATACAAACGGAGTTGGATGAGTTTAGTTTATGTAGTCGTTCACACAGACAGATTTAAGGATAAAAAGCGAGTAAGCCAACCGAAGTAAGTTAAAGCAGAGGAGGTGGGCGGGCTAGTGCAATATGATGAGGCATGACTGAGTGTTTATAGTCAGTTAGACAAGCGTAAGCTAGGCACGTGTTAAGCAGGAAGTAGGCAATGCACACACACACACACACACTTACTCACTCAAGTAAAAACAACCACGATTATGAGTAAACAATAGACAAGGTCAAAACACACCTAGTTAGTAGATTATTCATTTTTGTGCAAGGGATGGGCTTCAAATATTCATAAAAACTACAAGACACAATGATCTAGAGGTTAAGCGTTTGTGCTCGACGGTCCCATCTTCGATTCCTGCCGGCAGGGGTTCGTATAGGTGCACTGCTACGATTCGAGGTTTCTAGTGCTGGTCTAACATTGATCGATTCATGATTTACATAAAAACCTCTACAATCTGCTCAACCGTGTATGAAAAAACCTTCTATATACTTTTATATGCTTGGAAATAGCTTTTAGATTATTCGTACAATGTTTCGATGCCTAACCACCGACTGCCTCGACGAACTTTGTTTTGTAATGTAGGAATAGGTTGGAAGAAAGCTAGGGGCGGCCGGAGCAAAACATGGCAGAAATCCATAACGTCATTGACGAGTGGACTTAGCCATGTCGGTAATTGTCGACTACCTAGTTGGGGTCCACGAGATGATAATAATCGATGGTTAGAGACCTTGAATGACATGGCTCAAAATCGTTCGCAATGGCGCCGATGCATTTATTCTTTGTGTTCTCTCAAATCCTAATCTTCTGAATTCTTCAACACCTCTAGTTTTGACTTTCTAAACTTATCTCATTGAATCATACTTCTTGAATAATAACTTCTAATCCTAACCTCTCCGATTACTTCTAATACCTTAACTACCTCTTCTACTATTGAATTTGAATTGAAAATTACATCTCTGTGCTGATGTGGTATGGCAACATGAACTGATGTACTTACGTACAAAGTTCTACGTTGCATCTGACTCACTGACTGACAATGTTTCGATAATTAGTTTCTTTAACTGTATGTACACTGATAAAGTCAAGAGCAGTTTTTGTGAAAATAGTGTAGTAGAAATAATTTCTTTAAAAGTCTACGGACATATGAAAATGTATAGCTGTGTAAAAGAACAAATGTTACTACAAACTTATTACCCTTCAGATGGCAAACGATCTTGTTGTACACTGCTTAAATAAGAACAGTGTACAAATCAATTACTTTATCTCAAGAGATAAAAAAAGCCAGTTTACTAATCCTCACATTAGACATAGAAACATTTATCGTTTGAAACCTTCTTAGTATGTTTTCTATCATCACAAACAGCAGCCATTCACCTCGAGTAGTCAATAGATTCTCTAAAAAAACAACCTAGAATTATATGTGTATATTACTAGTTTGTTGCGTATAAGTAGTAGTAGTAGTAGTAGTAGTAGTAGTAGTAATAGTAGTAGTAGTAGTAGTAGCATTAGTAGTAGTAGTAATAGTAGTAGTAGTAAAATTTGGTGAAACTAACCACACTATGTTCCGTTGCATAATGTTTACAATGACATCGTGCAATTTGACTTCCACATTTAGGCATCACATGAAAACTTGGACATTTGCAATGTTTACAAGGTAATGGTACAGGACGTTGGGTCGGTATGATTTCGTAATCAGTTTGATGTTGTATTAGGCTATGAAAAGGCATAAAAGATTTTTTTTAAAAAAATAAAAACATTGCACACACAATTCATAATATAAACTGTCTCAAATTTTATGAATTTATGATGATATTGTGGTGTGAGCTACTTATAAGTAGTATATGACGTGAGTATCAACGTAATGTCTGGCAGCAGAAGATCGGGGAAGATCAAGAAAAGAAGAGTTAGAACACAATGGAATTTGTATGAAACGAACGCATGAATAGTGACAATGGATTGATGTTTTGCAACAGGAACAGTCCAGTTCGATATGATGATGGACTGATATTTTGCAAATTAACGATTTACGATATGGTTTTCCGATTTAACTGAGTAACTCTGTAATTTTCGTTAAACTAATATTCGGTTGCCCCACCTGTGTTCTCGTTCACTGCAATATGATCACTGGTTTACAAAACAAATGCAGGAAAAATCAACTGGTTTTATTTAAAGTGTTGAATTTATAAGATATGCTTGATAAATTTCAGTAATCAAAAGGTGGAGATAATTTGTAGCTCTATCTCTGAAGTTTGTGCTGATGATGGATGTTGTTCAAAGAAAACAATGAAAACTTCACAACCAAAACATCCAACTCAGAATGAACGCAACTCTATCACAATCAATGTTCAATCATTCTTCCGAATGAGGCTTACGATGTCAGATCATGTTACTTAGCCTTCCTTCTAAAAAATTCAAGTGATCATTGGGCATACCCACTATTGGTCGATCGATAAGTATAGTTGTTGCATATTTTCAATGTAGGAGGGATATTTCGGCTGCGTTTTTAACGTCTTAGTGAATTGAAACAGTTGAAAAATAATTTATTCATCCATTCAGCTGTGGTAATTTGTAGACCGAAATGTTTGAATAGTTTTCAACAAATTTGAATATTTTCTAAGGACAGTCAGTCAGGATACAAAAAACAAACAGAGTCATAAGGTGTACACAAATAGAAATCAAGTTCTTTCTTTTACATTGTGAACTTACGACAAATGAATTGATTTGATTGTAAATAAAGATAAGCCAAATTATGTTGGAAAATTTTGTCAAAAATTAACGTGTTCATTTGTACTCAGTAGCAGTTAACACTGTCAAATAAACCGACCGAAGCTGCTACCTTGACACGTAGTGGTCGGGCTTGACTATCGTGATGACCCAACCGAGCTATACTGGCTGGAACATATATATGTTCCTGAAGGTTCTACCATGCCAGGCAGGTCGATTGGAGAACGATGAGACTAAAAGCAGCTACTCAAGGTCTGAGGGCGAAGTCGTACTGCTGACTGACTGCAGAGGGGTGTGACAGCATTAAGGTGTTCCCCTCGGACAACCAGCATCTGCAGCGATGCTGCCTTCTCACATGGAAGGAAGCGTTAGAAAAGGTCGGCCCTAAAAATGTCACACCTCCCCTACCTCACGGATTTCCATCTCCGGCGGTAAGGGTGTCCACTAAGGGCTTTCAAGAGCGGAGCTAACACTCAAAAGACTTCTCATAAAAAGGCCGTGCATGACCGGCCTCAAGCAGTTGTCCCTTGGACTCTGCGGTCACGCTCCCAGGTCGTTAAGACCAACCCTTAACTATCTTCCTTTTCAGGTCCCTCAAGAAACAACCTTCCACGGTGTAGGCAGCCGGGAAGTGATAACCGCCCTCATACCCGCAACAACACACGGGAATAAACTGTGCAAAATCAAATCGTTCCTACACCCCTTAGTACCTCTCTTATCTCCACGACTAACTCTCCTTACATTCACTTATCACAGTGCACAGCTAATGCAAACGACGCGAGTTCGCGAAACGTCGTTCCTGGTCTCCTTAAACCCCGTTCTAAACTACATGTTGGAGCATTTAATGTGTCAAATAGAGCAACAGGCATCATTAGCTAGAACTTTAGAATCTCGTGCCATCGATGTATGCTGCGTCTTGGAAACGCGCATACAGGATGCGAGTAGCATCATTCACTTGACCTCATCATGTCAAGAAAAAGAAGCAACTTGATTTACCCTTCGTGTATCCAGTAGCCCTGATGCTGCTTCCAGGGGTCTTGCTGGTGTAGGTATAGTATTGAGTGGTAGGTCAGAACAATCTCTCCTTGACTGGATTCCTATAGATAGTCGCTAGTGCGCTGTCCGACTAAACGGGACAGTAAGGACTCGGCAAGATAGGGACAATCGCCGTTGCCTCTTCATCGTATCCGCCTATGCCCCAACTGACTGCAGTTCAGACGAGGTTAAAGATGAGTTTTACAGAAAGCTTTCGGACCTCCTCCAAAAAGCTAGGCGCTCTGATATAGTAATAATGGCTGGTGACTTTAATGCTCAAGTAGGTAGGCTAAGTGAAAATGAAAGACACCTAGGTAGATGTTATGGTGTCGCGGCTCAGAGAACAGACAATGGTGACCGTCTGTTGCAAGTATGCTCAGACAACCGCCTATTCTTAGCGAACACTAACTTTAGGCATAAGGAAAAGCATCTGTTTACCTGGCGACCTCCAAAGTTATCTCAACGTTGGACGCAACTAGATCACATCGAAATCAGCCAACGATGGAGGGGTTCGATAGAAGACTGTCGCTCGTTCTGGGGCACATGTTTAG